TGAAGGCACGGGGTGGCCATACACGCTACTGAACGTTTGAAACATCAGATTTGATTTCTTGTGACTTGACATTTTTTGTTTGTTTACGCCTTTTATTGATAAATTCTGTAACAACATGGAACCGATTTTTGGCATTGGAATTATTCTCAGTTCTTATCGACCTTAACAGATACATGATATTCTCTATACCACATTCTTGTGTCCTTTCTTGTATATATTATTTTTAATATATGATTGTGAAGTTTCTAATTTGACTCGGCATGTGTATATATTTGTTTTGTTATTACATGTGCTACCATATATATTTTAAAAGCACAATATCACACCACGCTTCTCTAAAAAATAAATAATGCTTTTCTCTCAATAATACCAAATATCAGCCTCTAAGGAAGCTACAATAAAATATATTCCAATTAAAATTACGTATTTCGAATAAAACATTAGATTTAAATGTTCGAATGAATGATGCAACGTTGTATTAATTCGACTCTCGCGACCTCTACCGGCCGAAGATTATTTCAAGTGAACCCCATAGAGTTATGTCCCTTGGAGCACTCTGGAGACGCCCGTAAGCAACCACGGGGAATGTTTTTTTACTTACCCATGTCTCATCAAGGTAGACGACCTGGAACCCTGGAGAGTGATACTCCGCAATACTGCGGGGATAACTAGTTCTCATAGTGAGATTAGAATATTTTTCCGTTTATACGCCCCTGGTCGTAGAGCCTGAAAACTGTTCGATGAATGACTCCCAGTCAAAGTTGTCGAGCTTCTGTTCTTCCTGGAGACGACCCCTACATGCTGTATTTTCTTTACAAATGAATTAACTTTGTGATGTGGAACTCCCAATGCTCGACTAGTGCAGTAAAACACTCTTCCCCCGATCTTTGTCTAAACTAAAAGAGTTGACCACGTTGGTATACAAAGTTTCAATGTCCGGACACATTGTGACTGCACGTGATAATCGGCGCGGTGAATTGTGATATGATAACCTTGTGGCAAGACTGACTGACTGACTGAGTTTGGTTTTACGCCGCTCTTAGCAATATTCCAGCAACATCACGGCGGGGGACACCAGAAATGGGCTTCACACATTGTGCCCATGTGGGGGATTCGAACCCGGGTCTTCGGCGTGACGAATTAGGCTACCCCACCGCCCCACTTGTGGCAAGAATTGAAGTGGGAAATGTAGTGCGATTTTCAAGAAAAGATAATTCTCAATTGATCCATGTCATTTTTATTGCATGTATTACAGAAACTATTATATTATATTATTATTATATATTAGCAGACATACGGAGAGTACGCCTTATTTGCATGCTATAGCTTGCATCGGAAAAGTAAATTTGGACTCTGATACAATTTCAAGGCGTATTTTTTGCACGTGTTCTCTCCTTTAAACTAATCTTTTTCTGAAAGTTTACCAATAATATCAAAGAGTGAAAATTGGGGGGGAAAATGACTATTGAATATTTAACACGATAATGTTTATCATTTTTAAATTGATAAAATGAACGCCAAAAAACATATTATTCATAGTTCTCGTTTGACATGTAGAAAAACACATGGGTTAGATAAAAGCAAATCGGATTTTTGAACCGATAGGGAGACTGTGTGTATTAATTTAAATCCTAATTGAAAATATCAGCTCTAAATAATGACTCTTTCTTCAAGTCTTTATTTGCCTGGTGTCCACAGTAACCATTGGAGTTGTAGATACAGTTGTCGGATGATTGGTAAGACCTGTGGAGGATGTATCCCTTTGTTTCGTGGTCTGAGAGAGCACACACACACACACACACACACACACACGCGTCCTGGAGCTCTGTCTCAGATTAGATCAGTACAATTTACAGGACTGAGATAATAATGCGAACAAATAACTGACGTCGATAATGTTGTTCTGACTTCTGCATCGCATTTTTAACTCTTAAGATCAACGTGTTAATTGGTGCCTTTAATTGGTGTTTGTGAACTCTATAATGTTTGCCAGTGTTATAACCGTAATTAGATCGACTAGTGATATATAGAAGTGTAAACACGCCGCAGTTGGGTATTCAGACACATTTAAAACCCCACCCCCTTAGTCGATACGAAATGTTAGCTCTTGAGTCGGAGAACGTTATATCAACTCGTGTAGCACTGTACTCTCATCGCATTAAGCCCGTAGTGCTGACGGAGCCGAGGTCCCCACCGCGCTCTCCCACTATTTGTGCCAACCAATCTGCTGTGCTATGTTTCTCGTAGACAGTGAATGTGCTGGGGACCGTCGGTGTACTGGCCAACCTGTCCGTGAGTGACCACAGTGGAAGATATACAACTGACATTCTGCTGAAGTATTACCACAATGGGGGACATTGTTCTCGTGGACCCAGGTAATAACGAGACTGTGTTTACCTTCCTGTCAGAGTTCAACAGCAAGTGGAAAGGTAAGTTTCATTTAGCTCCATTTTCCAATTCTGAGGTTTCCAGCTTTAGATTTAATATCCAAATTAATTCCTTTTGCTCCAGATAAAAGAGGGAAAGATCGAAGCTGAGGGGATTTATTGATACATTGCATGACGTTTTAAATACGGAAGAAAACGAGAACGAAAGCTGACAATTTACCTTAAGATAACACTTGATTTCCTCGTAGAAGAAATCCCAGATGGAAGCAATCCATTGCACGACTCCGAGTATCATAAGCACGTGTCTATGAATCACTGTCTACTGGCCATGATACCAGGTGCGTGTTACTGTTAAGTTTACTGTTAGACTAATCTTGTTTGACATAATTCTTTGTAGGTATCGTTCTTTATTTCATTGTGCTTTGACTTCCCAGTAATAGAACAGTCTGGGATACAATGCACGAATACCTTAATTATGAGTATGCATAGTTATTAATCTGCTTTATTGGCCTGCCTCCTCTCTCTCTCTCTCTCTCTCTCTCTCTCTCTCTCTCTCTCTCTCTCTCTCTCTCTCTCTCGATCGATCGATCGATCGATCGATCGAACATATCACATTTCAATTTAAAGGGAGCCCCAGGGAGACCAAAGATTCAGAACCTGAGGAAATCTAGACTTGCTTCATTTAGGACTTTAGCATTACAGGGAGGGCTAGACTGTAGGTAAAATAATATGGTTCAGGGACTGTGAGACAGACTAGCACACAAGCTGTGCCGGTTTCTGTGGGATGACAATGAAAGATGAATGTTGGGCTTGCAGCTAGTTTGAGATAGTGTTAGGATTCAGATGCTGGCGGGACATTGCGTACAGAAGTGCACATAAAGCACAGCGACACCATCTAACCTGTCACAACGATTTTAATCGCAGTTTTACACAAGTGTAATTGGCTCAACTGTAAAGACACGTAGAGATTTGTAAGTCTCTGGGAGCGAGCAGCCGGTGGAGATTCTGCTCTTGTTAATGTAAACGTTTCTGTCATGACGTTGCTAAAGTTATTTATTACGTATGAATCAGGTTATCGGAAATTTAGTTCATTGTGGACACACTCTACAGAGTGTTTCTGCCATCGAAACTGAAGGCCATGCCCTGGGATCTGCATATTTACTGTTATAGCCTGATATACGGATACGAGACATGCATGTGAGTTTTACTGACGCAATGTTCTTCAGTCATGTTATACTGGACACGAGACACCACACACCTTATCCTTATATGTGAAAGGGATCAGGCACAAACCAAATGTACTTGAGTGGGTAGAGCAGTACGTGAAATTGGTCTTCAGCCAACCATGCTTGTCGTAAGAGGCGACTAACGGGATCGCTGGTTGGCTTGATGTATGTCATCGCATCTCAATTTTGTATGATCGATGCTCATGATGACAATCACTGGATTATTATTTATAGACTGTCTTCATATAAACTTACGTTCAAAAGAAACTACACAGGTAAACTTTTGCTTAATAGCAGAAAAATAACAAAATTTTGAAACATATTTTCACACGTGCATTGAGACGCAATGTCAAACTGAAGTTCTTACACCCAAATGAAACGTTTAGCGTGAGTATTGTTGCAGTGACGTACAGTAAGACATGCATGGGGGACAAATGGCACATTTCATTACTGCAGATGAAAAGTTCAATCTCGATTAACAGACACCCGAAAGTCGCAACAGCAGGTATCATGTCAGTATCTTGTATGGTATCCGTGGGCATCAATGCAAGCCTGTACTCGTCTCCTCGTGGAAAACGTAAGTTGCCTGGTGATGTCATTTGAAAATTCTTGCCCATTCGTCATGGAAAGCCCGTTCGAGCTGTCGGACGTTGACTGGCTGCTGGTGTCAACGTCGTAGTTGTCTTCCGAGATTGTCCCATAGATGTTCTATCGGACCGAGGTCGGGTGAACGAGATGGCCAAGGCAAAACGTCAACATTATGGCGTTTGAGAAAGTCTGTATTGAGTCGGGCAGGGTGGGGTCTGTAGTGAGCCGGGCAGGGTGGGGTCTGGCGTTATCATGTTGGAGAATAATTCCTTGATGTTGTCCCATGACAGGATGTAGAACAGATCGCAACACCTCATCGCCGCATCGTTGGATATTCAGATTGCCCTGAACTGTCACTATACATGTACTTGTCTTCTGATCACCGCAAACTTCTGCCCAAACCATAACACTATCGCCGCCAAAGGGGTGAACATCTTGAATGCAGTTTGGTGCCAACTGTTCTCCCCGATGCCAATACACCCTCAGTCTACCGTCAGCATGAAACAGATTGAATCTGCTCTCGTCACTGAAGAGAACACGTGCCCAGTCACGACGTTGTCCACGACGCATCGTCCTTGTCCACTGTAAACGGTTCCTACGATATAGAGGGGTCACAGACATCCCATGGAAAAGTCGATAGGCCCAGATACCAGTAGCACAGAGTCGTCTCATCACTCTGACCCTGTTGATGCCGTTATCTACTTCTGTTGCTGCTGATGACGTCACATGGATAACCCGGAGCTAACGGCCTTCTCGTAGGGTAGTGACTCTCGGACGTCCACTAGGTCGGTCAGCTGTGTGGCCTGTCTGATGAACACGTCTAAACAGTCGGATTATGGTTTGTCTTGTGGACCGGAAGGTCCTGGTGATATGACTGTACGACGCCCCCATCTGTGTCATTCGAATGGCTCTCTTTCGTTGAGCTGGCGTGACTCTTGGCATTTTCTTCGAGTGCTTATTGTCGTATACCCATCAGCACTGGGACGACTGTTTATACCCTTTTACATGTTGATTGCACGTGCAAGAGTGCAAAATCACGATTTATGCAAATCTGGTGCTTCACGCGTACCCATGAATATGGTTGCGTTTTGGACAGTGTACCCGGATGGTTGCGTTTGTTAAATCTATTTTCCGTGACAATCTCTATGAATTCAATCGACCTTCATGTATGGTGACCAAAAGTTGAAGTGTGTACTTTCTTTTGAACGTCAGTTTAGCTGGAATATTGCTGAGTGCTGCGTTGAACAACAAACAAACAAACAAACACGCCGCTCGTGTAGTATTGAAGTCAGATGGCACTAATAACAGGATAACTTTTGATGGGTTTTGGCTTTGACCACGAATCTCTTCAAACGACCAAGTAGCTATTGGCATCGCCGAACACGGACTTTGAAATATCATGTCAAAATGTTATTTCATAACGTTTGTCTGCCATAAGGCCCTCAATATACAGTCTGGAGATGTGTGTCTTCTTCCCAAAACGTGCGTGCTTTGTAGTAGGCTATTGTCCTACATCCATATTGAAACCATATTGAACACACTGACCGGAATTCATTACGTCTCAGTTTTGTAATGAAACCGTTCCAGTGCAGCAGCATCGTGAACACTGATATGTATGTAATCAGTCCCCTGACTTCACGCAGGCGGGAGGTGGATCTGGCAGACAGAGTCGAGTCACTTGAGAAGTGTGCAGATGTTCTATATCTCCTGCACCAGGCCTACTCGGGACATACGTATGTAAATCACGTCCACTCACTGCAACGTAACACGTAGTCAGTTGACACCGTCTACTTTGGTTGACGCACGAATGTTGCTATGGGAATCTAAAATGAAGCATTCATTATAGCAATATATTTATGATAACAGCCAGTATTAAGAGACTTCATCAGTTGAAGTATATACCGATTATCGTTGATAATTATTAAATTAGTTGATCAGCGGAAGTTAAAAGACCAAACCGAAACATGAATCTCATTAACCTATTCAGACAATGACCTACTTTTCAGCCGATCCGAATTTTCTCGTGTGAAAGAGAAAATAGACATCACAAACAACTATGGTTACACTGAATTCCAATTCCTTGTTTCATAAGAAAATGGTATTTACAAATGAATTTAATTTTAAACTGAAATAACATCGCATTTCTATATTTTATGGCGAGGTGTAGGCAGCATGACCTTAACAAAGACGTCACAGACTGCCCCTGTTTGATCAGGTCGGAAAATGATTCCCAATACATCTGGCTCACTGGTTACACCTGTTATGTGGTTTTTTGCGCTTATTTAGAGTAGTTATGTAACACACAATGTGACTGATATAATATCGATTCCGTACCAGACCGCCAAACATTTCTAGCGGCAGAAACCTCGTTTTGAGATTACTACGATTCCAGATTTCCGTTTGTCAGAGCTCGCTGTACGACATAGCACGCTGCACTACGTGTTTGCAAGGATTAGAAGGGGCGTAGTGTTGCAATATACAAGTGCTTAGATGTATCAAATAATACTGATTAATATTTATGTATCCAGTTAAATGAATTGGTCTCAAAATTCTGTACTGGTTATTGTACTAAGTTGCGCAATAGGACGGAACCCAGTCAGCATGAAAACGAGACTGTTGTGTTATCAATGTTTTGACTTGTCGCAGTATTGGAATGGTTGTAATGTTTTATTAACGGTCGATCGAGGAAATCGGGAACAAAGCTGAGGGTAACATATTTTACATTTGGGATAACGCTTTCTCGCTGAAGTACAGATTAGAATCCTTTTGTTAGGTTTATAGGCTTTGCAGCGAAAGTATAATCCCAAATATAACATGTCATACATTTGACCACTTTCTAATTGGCATTGTGTTTTCAAAGCTGAGGGTCGTAATAAAGCCCCATCAGCCACTCCCACCCCCTCCACCCCTACACACAACCACCACCACGTCCGACCCCGACGATAAATCTAGGCATGATTGCTAAAGCTAAACTATTGTTTTTCAGGCCAAACGGAGATTGAAGTAACTGTCCTCACCATTATATTTGTTGCCGCAGTTGCTGGGAACGGCCTGGTGAGTACAGCATACACAGTGGTGTGGTGGTTTGGTCAACACGGGCGGTTTTGTACAGGTAACAGTGACAGTAATCCATCCGCTATTGTGACCCTGTTTACAAGAGGTGGCGCTCATATTGCTGAATGTACAGTCATATCAAGATTCATAACTGTAGGAGTAGTTACACTATCTACTACAGCCACTACAGCCACTACAGATCTAAAGAGCCTATAGGTGAGCACTAGATAAAGGGTCCAAATGACAGGATCTCCATTATAGCGCCAAGCCTCAAGCATATTGAATAGACTCACTGGTCTGTCTGCACAGAATGGCTGTCTCTACCATCTGTACAGACTCTCTTCTGTCTGTACAGACTGACTGCCTCCATTATCTGAACTGTCTGTATTGACTGTCTCTACTCTCTTACAGACTGACTGTACTGACTAACTGACTGTCTGCACTGTTGTACAGACTGACTGTCTCTTCTGTCGGCACCCATCAGCTGACTGTGCCTACTGCCTACTGACTAAATGACCCGCTGTCTTGACTAACTGACTGTATGGTCTGTACTCACTGACTGTATGGTCTGTACTGAGTAACTGACTGTATGGTCTGTACTGACTGTATGGTCTGTAATGATTGTATGGTCTGTACTGACTGTATGGTCTGTAATGATTGTATGGTCTGTGATGACTGACTGTATGATCTGTACTGACTGTATGGTCTGTACTGAGTAACTGACTGTATGGTCTGTAATGACTGTATGGTCAGTACTGAATGTATGGTCTGTACTCACTGACTGTATGGTCTGTACTGACTAACTGACTGTATGGTCTGTACTGTCTAACTGACTGTATGGTCTGTACTGACTGTATGATCTGTACTGACTGTATGGTCTGTACTGACTGTATGGTCTGTACTGACTGTATGGTCTGTACTGACTAACTGACTGTATGATCTGTACTGACTTATGATCTGTACTGACTGTATGGTCTGTACTGACTGTATGGTCTGTACTGACTGTATGGTCTGTACTGACTAACTGACTGTATGGTCTGTACTGACTGTATGGTCTACTGACTAACTGACTGCATGGTCTGTACTGACAATTGACTGGATGGTCTGTACTGACTTATGATCTGTACTGACTGTATGGTCTGTACTGACTGTATGATCTGTACTTACTAACTGACTGTATGGTCAGTACTAACTGACTGTATGGTCTGTACTGACTGACTGCATGGTCTGTACTGACTGACTGTATGGCCTGTACTGACTATGGTCTTTACTGACTGCATGGTCTGTACTGACTTACTGACTATGGTCTGTACTGACTAACTGACTGTATGGTCTGTACTGACTGTATGGTCTACTGACTAACTGACTGTACGGTCTGTACTGACTGTATGGTCTGTACTGACTGTATGGTCTGTACTGACTAACTGACTGTATGGTCTGTACTGACTGTATGGTCTGTTCTGACTAACTGACTGTATGGTCTGTACTGACTGTATGGTCTGTAACTGACTAACTGTACTGACTGTATGGTCTGTACTGTACTGACTGTATGGTCTGTACTGACTGTATGGTCTGTTCTGACTAACTGACTGTACGGTCTGTACTGACTAACTGACTGTACGGTCTGTACTGACTAACTGACTGTATGGTCTGTACTGACTGGATGGTCTGTACTGACTGGATGGTCTGTACTGACTGGATGGTCTGTACTGACTGGATGGTCTGTACTGACTGTAAGGTCTGTACTGACTGTATGGTCTGTACTGACTAACTGGCTGTATGGTCTGTACTGACTGTATGGTCTGTTCTGACTAACTGACTGTATGGTCTGTACTGACTGTATGGTCTACTGACTAACTGACTGTACGGTCTGTACTGACTGTATGGTCTGTACTGACTGGATGGTCTGTACTGACTGTACGGTCTGTACTGACTGTATGGTCTGTACTGACTGTATGGTCTGTACTGACTAACTGGCTGTATGGTCTGTACTGACTGTATGGTCTGTTCTGACTAACTGACTGTATGGTCTGTACTGACTGTATGGTCTACTGACTAACTGACTGTACGGTCTGTACTGACTAACTGACTGTATGGTCTGTACTGACTGGATGGTCTGTACTGACTGGATGGTCTGTACTGACTGGATGGTCTGTACTGACTGGATGATCTGTACTGACTGACTGAGTGTGTCTACTGTCTGTACTGATTGAGAGTATGCAATTGATAGGGCTATTCAATGTTGTGTTTCTCTGATTTCAAAGCAACAAAAACCTAACAAACTGCAGGCAACAACCTATAAGTCTACAACTCTACAACACGAATTTTTTTAGGATTAAAAGAGATGACGACACGGGTACTATAGCACCCGGTGGCAGACATCCCACTGAAGCTCGGGGTCAATACAGGTGACCTTATAGAAAATAACAGTTGTAAAATGTAGAAAATCCAACCAAACTCACGTTTTTATATCTCTTAACCAGTTGAGATTCTACCCCTTACCCTAAATGAGTATTTTATGTTTGGTTTTCTAATCATTTTCTCCTAACCCGGATTGAATTTTAACCACCAGTTAGTGCTGGATTCAGATCCAATCACACATGTAATTATGTGTATGACACATGTGACAAAACCCTTAACATGACCAAAAGAGCTCATTATACGATTATTATCGTATCATTATTCCGAGTATATTATATGAATATGAATATGAACCACTATGTAACAGTGATAATTCCAGGTGTTTACGAAAACGTGATCGTATCCAGGCCTACGGTGGCAAACGCACGCAAGGTTTGTAATGATTCAAATCAGGAAACCAGTTTAATTAAGGGCTTGTGTGAAAACACTGCAATCGCCCTTAACAGATGGCGTCAAAACACAAGAGCCCTCTCGTATTAAACAGGCCTCAGTGACGTCATAAGTGCGATCGTGCTTCCGGTCGAAGCAGGTCACGTGGTCAATCTGTCGTGCAGCAGGTTTTGAGTTGGTATCAATTCACATTACTCTGTCTAGGCGAAGTCAAATGAGATGCGGCTGACAGGCATATTAAATCTTCGTCCCTGGCATTGCGTGATTTATAACGGGTCAGGACAGTGAACAGCGTACAAGAACTCTCTACTGTTAGGGTTCTATACCTGGCACTTAATTTCCCCTCAACACTCTTACACCTTCCTGTACAGGCAAGTATTCTTCAGTAACTCTCTACAAACTAACACATCCTGTTATCAGGACGGGTACCAAAATACACTTGGCAGCCGACAGATCTCTGACGTACGCCTCTCCAGATAACTACCACAAAACGTTATGAGATTGACAGATTCGAATAATACGATGTCAAGGTTTAAATACAAGATCCCGGTCTACACACGGCAATTCTGATGAACGTTCGTTTTAACAAAAGGATATCATTATATGATATTGAATTTAAAATATCATACTAACGCAGTAAATGTTTTGGGTTATTTTAAGTTTTTTAGACCACTAAATTCTAATGTGATTGTGCAATTTCATTTTTTATGTTAGGTATGTAAGACTTGAGACGCAAGCCTGACTTCAGACGCAAGAACGTGTTCATTTGAGTCATGTTCTTATCAGATCACAGTTGCCAGTTAGACGTGTAGTCTCGGACTCGCCAGAGAGCAGACCACCCACCCCAACCCCCACTGAGTACCTCATGCTAGTTGTAAGAGGAGACTAACGGGATCGGTTGGTCAGGCTCGCTGACTTGGTTGACTCATGTCATCGTATCCCAATTGCATAGAACGATACTCATGTTGATCACTGGATTGTCTGGTCCAGACATGATTATTTACAGACCGCCGCCATATAGCTTGAATATTGCTGAGTGAGGCGTTAAACAACAAACGAACCAACCAAGTTTTGAGTCAATGTACCATACACATTTTGTGTGTTATAAATAACTTGGTATCAATATCACATTTGGGGCAAGCAGCTGACTTTCCATCTTCAGTATTTGTTTGTCACAGCCACTCCGTGCGTGTGTACGCTCTCACAGACATTGTTTCCCGCAGTGTTAGCCATGGTGCTGATAGGTATTATTAAGCTATACAGTTGATTCCAGAATGCCATTATTCATGTAGCTCAGGAGAAATAGCATGGTTTCACTGTCGTCAATGCCAATAATTAAACAATCCTGTTGCTCTGACAAATGAATTACATGCACCACCATCCTTGTATCGACTGCCTCCTGGAAACTGAATGGGTGTGTGAGATCAGACGCATTGCTGTCATTGAAATATGTTGCCATGCACATATCAATCAGGAATGCTTCAACACCAAGTTTGCAATATATCGAGTAGTTAGATATACCTTGAGAGATAAAGTGTTACATACTGAGCTTCCAGTCTTACGATAGTAAACATGGTCTTCCGTTTCATTGTGAAATATTTGTAGAGGTTCAATACTGATGTTTTTTAACATTAAAAATGCTTTAAGTAACACATGATGTACATCTAGGTCTTGAAAGATTGAATGGTCAGTACGAATAAGTGAAAATGATTACCCATTATTGATTAGTTGTACCTCATCAAACAAGAGTGAAGTGGCCGATTTAATCCTCCTCCTCTGATAAATAATTGTGCCTACGCTGCCATTGAAACAGAGCACATTATACACTACATACCCTTGTCATACGACCACAACCATAGTTTACTTGAAGAACAGGCATATATTTTCAAGAACACATACGTTGTAACTTGCTTTACCGTAGTTGTTGTTACATTTTCGAAAGGTTTTAGAACAAGTCTATACTGATTCTCAACACAGCCCCAGGGACGGTGGGCTAGCCTAGTGGTTAAAGCGTTCACTCGTCACGCCGAAAACAATGAGTACAATGTGTGAAACCCATTTCTGGTGTCCCCGGCCCTGATATTGCTGGAATATTGCTAAACGCGGCGTAAAACTAAACTCACTCACTCAACACAGCCCCCCGACGCCGGTTTATCTGGTATAATCTTCCATGATGAAGCTGGAATATTATACGTATTCAATATACGTATTTCCTAGTACATCGCCAAGAGATACACATGTCTGGAAGCTGCTGCACGAATCCACGCTGTTTCACACAAAGTGCTGTCTACAGATAACTACACGAGAGAACTATTTGATGTCAATGATAACATGTCTGTTCCCTTGCAGGTTTTGCTGGTCATTCTAAAGTGTCGGAGACTGCGCAGTGCCACCAATTTCTTCATCGCCAACCTGGCCTTCACAGACCTTCTGTTGGCGTCTGGCATCCCCTTCATCGCCACCACGCGCGTCACAACATCCTGGGAGTTTGGTGACGTCATCTGTAAACTCGTGACCTACATCCAGTTCATCGCTGGGACATGCTCCATACTGACAATGATGATGATCTCGATAGAGCGCTACACCTATATCTGTTTCTCCCACCGCAGGCGCATGTCCGGGCAACTTGCCTGCTGGATCATTTCCGGGGTATGGGCCATCTCTATAACATTTCCGCTTCCTATTGCGCTTGCGCAGGCTGAACTAAGTATCCTTCAAAATGGGAATGTGTACATATTTTGTGGAATCCACTGGCAGGAAGGGTTTCACGCCGATGTGTATTTGATTTCGATGGGAATCTTATTTTGTATGCTTCCTCTGATAGTTATAACTATATTCTACTACAAGATATTCCACATGGTGCGGACTTCGACCAGGAGGAGTCAGCTCCGCGGGTCAACACGTGGGAACAAGCTTCAAGTGCGACTTATAAAAATGAGCGTGTTGATTGTGTTCATGTTTGTGACGATGTGGTTGCCATTCTATATCATCGGCTTCTTTGGAGTGTACACGAAATCTATTACGTCATCGAACTTTGTGATCACGATCATCCTAGCTATGGGCAACACTTGTCAGAATCCAGTCATATACGGGTACTTCAACACCCGCTTCAGGGAGGAGTTCAGACAGTTGTGCTGTTGTGGACAGGCTGGCCAACAACAGACGGCGGCCAATGTGCCGTCTACCGAGGAGGCAGAACGATCATAGGGACACTTTAAGACAGTGAAGGTGTAATACAACCAATAGAATCTAGAATGTACCCGCATCTCTTCATTGCCTTAGCCGTTAACCCGGGAAGATCCAGGTTAGAATTGGTCTTCAGTAATACTTGTCGTAAGAGGCGACTAACGGGTGGTGTGGCTGGTTGACATTGTTGATGAACCATCGTATTCCAATCCCGTACAGCGATGTTCATAATGTCAATCACTGGATTGTCTGGTCCAGACTCGATGATTTTCAGATCTAGACCGCCGGCATATGGCTGGAATATTGCTGAGGGCCGCGTAAAAAACAACAACAAAAAACAAACAAACAAATGCCTGAGCCGTTGACGGGACGTGTCGACCTCTGTGACCCTAAGTATCTCCCAAACACAGTCAGTTGTGTGCAGCGTGCGAAATAGTTTCCAAATTTTGCTAGCCAGTCGGGCTAGCTATGCTTGAAAGTTACTAGCCCACAAAATAATTCACGAGACCGAAATCTGAAATCTGAAACTAAGCAAAAGATTACAAAAATAGATAAGAATAATATATTGTCGATATGACACGGGTTTCATCATGAAGCTGCTAATATGATGGACATATTTATCAGGCCATAATCTTGTAGGATGTAAAAGTGTATTATAACTTAACAAGTCAAGTGCGATATTTACAAAATGACCCCATGAAAATTCACTAGCTAGTCGGGCCAGTGACTGTGGAGATTTACTGGCCCGACTGGATTTTTACTAGCCACGGGCTAGCGGGCTAGTGGCTATTTCGGGCACTGGTTGTGTGCTACCGTGTGTTAACTGAACCAAAAGAGTGATGGTGTTATAAAGCCTGTCGATGTTTCCCATTCATCATTTACATTTCATGCAATGGCTTCTGGGTATACATGAGTTAACATGGCTCCTTGATGTCATTACATTTGTATATATCGTTACTGTCTGATATATACCGTGACTGTCAATGTCTCTTCACATGCGGGGCTCCTTGGTGTCATCATTTCATCTATATATACCGTGACTGTCTGATATCAATGTCTCTACATACTCGGGGCTCCTTGATGCCATTTCATCTGTATATATCGTGACTGTCTGATTCTAAAGTCATTATTTTATCTGTATATATCGTTGTCATTGAAGTTCAAGTTCCAACAACCGGACAAAAGAAAGTAAACAAATGTCTTCGATGCAGGACAAAACTAAAACCAAGTTGAAATGGTCACTGGTTGAGTATTTGATAAGGTCATGATAGGCGATATTACATGCATGGTATCAATCAGTGTCTCACAAAAGGTCGGCCAGGTAACGTGCTGCTAAGAGTGGATACTTTGGGTCAAATCCAATGTTTAGGTGCACACTTCATTTTGCCCAGTAGTTTATGTTACAGACTATACAACGTGGAATTCACCAGGGAATAACCAGTCTCCAGTTTTTGGAGAAACAAATTTCATTGGTGCAAAAGCCCAAACTGAAAAATATCTTAATTAGTAATAGGTGATTTGAATATTGTAGTTACAAGTATGTGTGCAATCATCGAATTACAAAGAATACGCTGATATACTTAGGACTGTCTCTTTCGAAGTATCATGATACATAGGTCAGCTGGACGGAAACATATTGCTCCACAATCAGAAATTGCAGGCCGCGACCAGTGTTGAGAAGTGGACCGTGTCTTCCACTAGTGTGTGTAAACTGGATGGCTGTGTATGCTACTGCTGCTATGATTTTACGTCGCTTCAATAATATCGCATCACTGTCTGAACGGGATCAAGTACAGGACTGAGTCCCTCATTGGCTCACCCGACACAGAACCAATTAAAACTGCCCCATGTGCTGGTTCGCCTGTAAACATTGTTTACATGTGTGTCTCTGTGTAAGTTTTAATATGATATTTACAAGGAAAACCAATAATTTTAAACTCGACACGTACAATCATAACAATTATTCTATGTATGACATTTACAATCATGGCATTTACAGACATAAATATTGTAAACATGACATTAAGAAATACAGTCACTGTTTAATGTGATAATGACCGTCTCTAGTTGAACATATGCAATTATAAGACAGAAGCTTCACTAGTCAAGAAAACTAGTTTGTTTTAGTAAACGTACAATTTCATCCGGAATGTTAGTCTATTATTCATCTACTCTGCTTTCTAAACCAGGCTTTCCCTTGATACAGTGGTATTCGCTGGATGAAAAAGAATGTTGTAAATTGAAAGATGGTCTAATGTGTTATATACAGAATACATGAGACGTTCGACTGAGTGTGTAATACTGACAATACTGAAATACTGGCTATACTGTCATACTAAGTTAGGGGCGTGGACATTCCTTCATGTTGCTTTTGGACCATAACACTGGTAGACAGTTTAAGCAACTTTGCAGGTGATCTCACAAAACACAAATACTGGTATTTCTGTGTTACTCATTTCAGTAAACTATGATTCTATCCTTCACACAGTGTTACCATTTTATGCGTGTGTTCGTGTCAGTTTGGATGAGAATAATTAAGGTACATTTATTAACAGTTTTATGTCGCATATGCTACAACTTTACACGCCAACACTTTACTACTACTACTACTACTACTACTACCACTACTACTACTCAGTGTTTGCAATCAGGGCCAACTGCCTGCAGGCTTTAAAATCTACTGTAGTGAACAGGCCCTGAATGAAATCTGCAGGCCCATTTTGTTAAAGTCAAACCAATGAAAACAAAATAAACTACACTGTACACAGTTTCTCACTGTTTCTACAAAATCAATTAGCGAAGCCTATGGCGCAGGTGTTTTGATTTGTGAAAGATTCGTGTTGACTTTCCTATCCGCAAAGTGCTGAAATACCAGGAAGTGAAACTGTAGGTTATGGTAACATGAGGGATGATGGATGACTCCGTAACATTCATGCAGAAAGGAATTATGGGAAAGATTTCAGTTCAGAAAACAAATTACAGATATATTACTGAAGGCCACAAGGGCCTGCAAATATTTGAAACTGCCGGCCTGATACAATAACAAGCGGTGCTGGTGGGCCTCCGGGTTGGCTATTATTTCGAACGCTGCTACTACTACTTCATTCTAAAAGCTTTAGTTGTGTTTGTGTTCAAGTGTTTGATGGAGATTGTATTCATATTATAACGTTAATAGTAACTTGAACGTACAGTTATCCTCAGCAATCCTTATTTTTAATGAATTGCGCGACTACAACCTGTGTTTGATTCCTCGTGATCTAAACTTGTTAAATATTATTTCTTGCTTGTGAACACTTTAATATGATCGTATGTCCACATTCACCAGATAGAATAACAATGCAGTCGCAATCAATAATGATTGTATAATACCTTAAATCAAACATGACTAGCGGATGAAATACATAATAGGGGTTATTATATATTCCTTGGAAGGAATTGCTCTCGTAGTAATGCACTCAACAAAAGTTCTCTTAAGAAAAGCTAGCGAAAGTAATATATACACCCCACGTTAGTTAAGGAAACATACGTGGAATTGTCGTTTAGTGAATGAAATTCGCCCACAGTGATAAATACATTCTGTAAATCAACACATTCCTACTTTCTTATACTATAATACATACTAGACTTGCACAAGTCTCTGAGGTAAAAATAATAGTTTAAATGATAATTTCTAAAAAAGATAACAAATAACAGACTGTGGTCCTTTACTGTCCGCTTATCTAGACTTGCCTCTTCGAAGGATAGAATTATCATACATCCATGGGTTCAGTATTCAGTACAGCCTTGGAGCAAGGCTAAATACATCCCTACGCATTGTGGTCTTAGATGGGGATTTATATGTTAGATTTAGGGCATATGATTATGTAGGTATGTATAAGGATACCTATGTTTCCGGATGTAAATTACTTTGCCGTGTCCGGCATTATATCAACAAAGCATGACCTTTGACTCCTATGCGACACCTCACTGTGTGAAGATCTGAGGATACCTTATCATCGAATCATCAGATAACCTATTTAGGCATGTTGTGCAAGATATACTGGTTCAAATGAAGGCCTATACTGTCCCAAAATGTTCATAAATACTTTTCAAACAGAAAGATGAGATCACAGTTCTCAATCACCTATGTCCTAACTAGGCTGAAACTGTATCGATAGCAATACTGACAGCAGGTGAGACTACGTGTGTATGCTGATATAATACAGTATTCTACAGGAGAGCTACAGGGCACTAACAAAGACGACATTTTCACTGCTGCTTGGTCTTTTACAAAGATAACCCACAGATGAGACATTATGTATCGTTTTATGTATCGTTATATTCCATCGATGCTTACACTATCATCCACTGGTTTATATGCTGTAGATATTATCTATGTTTAAAAGCGGTAAAGTGATTTGCTGACGGTTGGGCTAATCCGCTTTTCTTACATAAACTCCAGCCAGCCCATTCTCTTCACCATCACCATCAAAGCAGCAGCCCCAACTCAGAGTTGGTTATGTTATGGTATACAAGTAGTGAGAACTGTGCAGTCAGAGTTGGTTATGTTATGGTATACAAGTAGTGAGAACTGTGCAGTCAGAGTTGGTTATGTTATGGTATACAAGTAGTGAGAACTGTGCAGTCAGAGTTGGTTATGTTATGGTATACAAGTAGTGAGAACTGTGCAGTCAGAGTTGGTTATGTTATGGTATACAATACCTGTAGTGAGAACTGTGCAGTCAGAGTTGGTTATGTTATGGTATACAAGTAGTGAGAACTGTGCAGTCAGAGTTGGTTATGTTATGGTATACAAGTAGTGAGAACTGTGCAGTCAGAGTTGGTTATGTTATGGTATACAAGTAGTGAGAACTGTGCAGTCAGAGTTGGTTATGTTATGGTATACAAGTAGTGAGAACTGTGCAGTCAGAGTTGGTTATGTTATGGTATACAAGTAGTAACTGTGCAGTCAGAGTTGGTTATGTTACTGTGCAGTAGTGAGAACTGTTGGTCAGAGTTATTATGTTATGGTATACAAGTAGTGAGAACTGTGCAGTCAGAGTTGGTTATGTTATGGTATACAAGTAGTGAGAA